GTCTTCTCCCGGTGAACCCCCTCCTCCACCCCCGCTAATAGTCCAGTACGGCTGAATACTTCCTGTTTTCAAAACCAAGAAGGAAACGCTTTCGATTACCTTACAAATTAGCCTAGATCTAGTGTCAAATAGGCGTTAAGAATTTGTTGGAACTTCATGTTCTTCCTCGTTTTCACTTTAAGTTTTTGTTTATAAAAATCAAATAAACAAGTTTTTATAGAATGCGACTAGCCCAATTTTTGTGGCTCCTGACAGCGGCGACACTCGACTACTTTGTCCAGGCAGATATGCTGATTCGCGGGCGGCCCGACACGTTGAAGGCGCTCAACGGGTTTTGGGGCCGAGAACGGTGCGTTTTTAAAATGCCTTGAATTCCGTAAAACACTATTGTTAATGTTTAAGCTGGTTTTGTTATATTTTCAGTTTCCTTGTAAGATATCCATTTTTAAGGCTTTTAAAGTATTTTTTCAGGCTTAGTTTAGCACAGATATTCCAGTCGCCATGACTGCAACCATCTGGCCTTCGGGCTACCCTACATGTCCTACTCCACCACATCCTTCCCTAACTCCTCCAACCTACATACCTTCCTGATGGCTTCAGATACCCCGATAGCCGAAACCCCTTCAAAAACTGCTTAGATTCCATCCCGATACTTTAAATGATTTAAATAATAAATTAACATAATTAAAAAGTATTGTGCATAAAGTAACTTAAAAGCTATTTGGGCAAGCGGGAAAGGGCCTGGAAGAGGGGCGAAGGAAAAGGGGCGTGGCCTCCCGGGGAGAGGGCCCCACTGTTTTATTACTGCGCCACTTTCAAAGTTAATTTTAATAATTTAAACTAAAAGTTTTCGTAATTTTTATCAGTCAGGCTTGACCACGCCCATCCTGAACTGAAGAGAGCTGCTTTCAGCTCCTTTCCTTCGAGTTGAATTCGGCTTCACACACACACACAGACGGACGGACGTCTCAACTTTTTTATTATAGTTGATTCGTATTGTTTTACAATTTTTGGATCCAAAATTTTTTATTGAGCAGGCAAGTGAGTCGGGGGGTGGCAAAAGGCTAGGTACATTTTGTGGGCATAAATATTTGCTCGTCGGCGACGTTGTTCTACTTCTTTTGGCCGGTGATGAAGAGCACGTTGTTGGACAGGTTGCTCTTGATCGTCTTCGGGTCGACGCCCTTCGGCAGGTGGTAGCACCTTAAGAAAAAGATTTAAATGGATTTTGAATTGTTAGGGTGGATTTTGGCTATAATTTCATGCCGTAATCCAATTTCCGAGGTTTTCTGGTGCTTTCGCATTATCGGGGGGTCTTTTATTCTACTTCTTTTTTCTATTTTCTAAATGTTGCTAGAGATTTTCTATTATTCTCAAATGTAAGAAATCGACAGGTTTTCATTAAAAAATTACAAAAATTGCGATTTTTCGACCAATTTGAAATTTTCAGAGGCTTTTTCTAGCTTAAGTAGGGTTATATTTTACTAAAAAACTATTAAAATACTGGCAATATTAAGATATTAGGCATTCCTAGTCTTATCAAAAAAAATTCGTCCCCCCTCCGATAATGCAAAAGAACCTAATTTTTAAGCAAGCGTTTTGGGCTGAATTTCGTGGCGTAACCGAATATAGAGCTTTGAAAGTTATTCCCCGCTTTGACTACCGTACCTGCTAATCGCGCGGGTGACCGAGCCGAACTTGTCGTTGCGGATCTCGTGCTCCAGGTTGATCTGGATGAGGTCGTTGATCACCTTGACGCTGATGTCCTTGGCGGTGAAGTAGGTGGCGTCGAGGCCGACCTCGAAGTGCTTGTCATCTTCGTGGACCTGGAGATGTTCAGGGGTTAGATCAAGGCCTATAGTTCTTACCCTGACAACGCCGTCCTGTCCCTGGAGGGGCCAGTCCCACAGCTTGTCGTCGTGTCCCTTCAGCTCCATGGTAGCCATCTGGAATTTTTTAGGGTTTTTCAGCTAGATATCTGGGTTCTATGGCATTATCGGGGGTGGCTGTGGCATTTTTGCATAAAAAATGCAAAAAAAATATAGATTTTCGATCAGAATTTCGATTTTTTAAAGTTTCTTTTTTTGAGATAGAGCACTTTAAATAAAGCTAAATTTTGCTAAATTTTTTAGCTCAGCTTGAGATGCTTAAGCATAAGCCAAAACCTAAGCCGAAGCCAAATCCTAAGCCTAAGCCTAAGCCATGCCCACGCCTAAGCCAATGCCAAGCCTAAGCCTAAATCCAAGCCTAACCTAAGCCTCGTTTAAGCAAAATCCTAAGCCAAAGCTTAAGCCAAATCTTAGGCCCAAGCCTAAGCCTAAGCCAAACGAAAGCTTAAACTCAAGCCTAGGCCTAAACCTAAGCGTAAGCGTAAGCTAAAGCCGAAGCCAAAACCTAAGCCAAAACCTAAGCCTAACCACTCCTAAGCCCATTAAGCCAAAGCCAAAGAACCCACCTTGAGTTAGTAGTAGTTGTTGGTTGTGT